AAACCTTTAAATTTAGGCAGATGCCACTTGAAGATACACTCATAAGTGAAATAAACCTAACACACATGTGTAAATATCATATAGTCTCCCTAGTATAAGAGCTCAAAAGAAGAAATACAAATAGAAAAGTGTAATACAAGTAAAAGGAAAGCAGGAACTTGAGGACTAACTAATTAAGAGGGAAAGGTGAAGAGCTAGGAAACATGATAGTGACACCTGCCACTTTAGAGGAGCTGCAATCTTCATGACAGCTGCCACTTCCTTGGAGATGTTCCAGTCTTCAAAGCTAGTGTAGAAGGAAGACAGAGAAGCTTGATAGACAGCTGTTGCTTGTCATTGCTTTCTGCTGCCATGAACTGCTGCCATCTGCATTGGGGCTGGTGGAGTATGGACTGAAACCTCCACTAATTGTAAGCTAAGTAAACCTTTCCTTTCTTAATTTTGAGTGTCAGTATTTTGTCCCAACAATGAGTAAAAATTAACAGATAATTTCAGACTTACTAGTTGATAACTTGTTGTAACAGGAATAGAGTGTTTCTTACTCCTGATTCCCAGTAGTATTTTAAGTAAATTTTACATTTACTTATAAGTGTATAGGATGCTATAACTTTAGACATCTTTTGATTAAAAAGGGTTAAATTATTTTGAGAATATTTACTTTTATTCTCAGGGGTTTTATCTTTATTTTGTTTTGTTTTGCTCTGTGCAGTGAGTCTTTTTAAAAGCAGTTTTAATTTGCTTCCCCATATGCATTCCTAGTGTTTCCTGTCTACAACAGCCCAGATTCAACAGGGAAAAAATTTTAAGAAAAGCTTGTGAGACTCAGTATATAAATATTTACTACTTTAAATGACATTGAAAAAATTACCTCTCATGCTTTCTCTGTATTTGTGCCTACCAATTGGAGTATAAGCCACAGGAAAAATTATTTAAATGCAACCAGCAAAACTTTTGGAATCAATACTTAAAAAAATTATTCAATCCTAAACTTAGTTTATAGTTTTTTAAATCTGATTTTCTTGTGCACTTTAATTAGTTGTATTGGTTCATGTGGATCTGATTTATTTCACTTATGAGTATATCTTCAAGTGGCATCCACTTATATATGAAGACTTCGAGTTTATCATTCTTTATAGCTGAGTAATACTCCATTGTATAAAAATACCACATCCTTTTCATCCATTCCTCAGGTGATCTGTATTTTGTTTGTTTCCAAAAGTCGGCTATCCCAAATTGCACTGATATAAACATAGGTGCGCATATATCACTATAATATGACATTTTCAGTTCCTCTGGGAAAATTCCCAGTAGGGAGAATAGCTGCTTTGAATGGGATTTCCAGTCCTAGTTTTTTAAGGAGTCTCCACACTGATTTCCATAATGGTTGCACCAGTCTACACTCCCACCAACAGTGGAGAAGGGTTCCTTTTTCCCCACAGCCTCTCCAACATTTGTTGTTGGTTGATTTCTTTATGATAGCCACTTTTTGTGGGGTGAGCATTGTTTTGATTTGCATTTCATGGATGACTAGTGAAGTAGAGCATTTTTTCATGTATTTACAAACCTACACTGAAAGGTAAATTCTTTTTTAAAAATAGCTAACAGGGATGGCAAGATAGCTCAGGAGACTAAGCACCTGCTTAGCCAAAACAGGAACAGGGGTTTGGTCCTTTGTACTGCATGCTGCACTGACCCTGCCCCTGGGTATGCTGAGCTGGCAACCAAGTCAGAGTGTGGTGACACATGCCTGTAATCCCAGCACTGGGGAGGCTGAAAACAGGAGGATCACTCTAAGTCCAATCTGTGTAGGGAGACCCTGTACCACATAAATAAAATATTAAAAAGAAAAGCCAACAGTTAATGCAGTTCTAACCAATAAAACCTTTTCAAATAAATCCACTTCAAGAGACATCACAGATTTTTGGTATTTGTTTGTTCTGGTACCAGGAATCAAACTCAGAACCTCCCCAGGCAGACACTGTGTGACTGAGCTAAATCCCCAGATCAAACTCTTGAAATTGAGAATGTACGTGTCATGTAATATAAAGATTAATTCAAGGATTTATGACCTCAAATGGAAAATCTAGAAGCCCTGATTTACTTTTGTTATAAATATTTTTAAATAAAATTTGATGAACTAACTCATAATCATCTCAAAAATCTAAAAAGTGGCAGCAGCCAGGAGATTAAAGCCCAGCACAGTTAAATGAACATTTGGGGCAGATACAGGAAACAGAAAATGAATATGGCAAATATTGAACTAGTTTGACAATTCATCTTATTTTATTATTTCATTATATAGTGACACATTAAGAGATGAAAAGCTCCTTTTCACAGGAAGCTAAAATTACCTTTCTAAATAACATTTTTTATTTATTTACATTTTTAAATTTTTTTTTGGCAAAGAGAGCAAGTTTATTTGATGACTGCTGAAGGCAAGCATCACCCAAGAGACCGGGTGGAAAAGGTGCCATGGCGCGAGGGAACCTAGAAGCCCCTGGGGCCACACACAAATCTCGCAGAGGGGAGATGGAATGTCCTCAGCCAGTCAGCACCAGCCAGACAAGTTCTTTACAGTTGATACCACCACTGCTGTCCTCATGCCCTGCCACCAGCATACCACTTCTTCCTCGGTCATCTTCTCACCCAGTGAGACTAGGACAGGATGGATCTCAGCGCCCCTGACAATACCATTCCCTTCTTTATCAGATGCTAGAAGGCCTTCAGTGTAGTCCTCATAAGTTCCCTGGTCCTTGTTCTTGGCCACAGTCTGCAGCATGGCCAGAAAGTGCCCAAAGTCCAGTACCTTCTCTTTCATCTCATCACTCTTGGGGTTCTCCAGAACCTTGAGCACCTCGGTGTTGGTGGGGCTCTGGCCCAGGGCCCTCATCATGTCCCCATACTGGCTGTACAGGATCTGGCCATCACCTGTCCTGTCAAACAGTTGAAAGGCCTCTCTGAACTCTGCCATCTCGTCCTCGGTGAAGTCACAACATCTTGACTGCCGAGCTCTGCCCAACCTGCAGTAATGGCCACAAATAATATTTTAAGTTGTGCTCAGCAGATAAGGTGGGCACGATTTCATTCAAGTGACAGAAAAGAAAATGCATAACATGATCTTAAAGAAAATGTTACACTTAAAAGGGAAGCTGAGTGGGGAGGTGCACACCTGTGATCCCAGCATTCTGGGAGGCTAGGCAGGAGGATCATGGACAAGTTAGAAGTTTAGCTAGAACTTGTCTCAAAATAAATAAATAAATAAATAAATAAATAAATAAATAAATGGCTGGGGGTGTAGCTCAATATGAAGGCCCTGGGTAGCCATGACAGAGATGGAGATGGAGATGGAGATAGAGTGAGAGAGAGAAAGAGGGAGGGAGAGACACACAGAGAGACAGAGACAGACAGAGACAGATAGAGAGTGAGCATATGCAGTCAGTTTAAACATGCACACTCCCAGCCTATTCATTCATTTTAAGTGTAATTTAGTTAAGTTCACAAATTTAAGCGTACAAAAGGAGTCTTTACTTATGCATATACTCATGAAACACTATCCAGATAAAAATATAGGTCATTATCAGCAACACTCTAACAAGTGTTTATATGTACCCCCACATATAAAATGTATATTTGATCAGTATTCTAAAGATCAACTCCTTTTCTAAATTAAGAAAATTGGAGCTGGAGAGGTAAGTACTTACTACACATTGCAAAGCATAGTGGCAATTAAGACAGATTAGTCAGGAAAAAACTTTTTAAGAAGATGTGAGCTTAAAACTAATTTTTAAGAAAAATGGGAGTTAGCTAAAAAATGCTAATGGAGGATGATGCATGGAAGGGGGAATATGAAAGAAAGAGAAGAACTCCCTATGTGAGAGTACAGAGTCACAGGCTCATGGAACACACTTAAGGAGCCCTGTTTGCATGGCTGCAGTAAAGGATTCAGGCTAGAGGTACCGAGAGATAAGCTGTAGAGGCAGCAAAAAAACCAATCACAAGGACTTGCATTAATGTAAAAATTAAACTTCATCCTACATATGGGCTTGAGGCCAGACAGTCAGTAAGAGAAATGGCATCATCAGCTACATATTTCAAGAAAAATTACATTATGGGGAGTAGGCCAATTACTGTGGAAGTTGGAGGGCTGCAGGCAAAGGCAAGAGGCAACTGGAGTAACCTGGCCAGGGTGAAGAGGACCAGATTGTTGTGGATCTGGACAGCCAGAAGGGTGAGCCTCAGAATGAGTGAAGTAACTAGATTATGGCTGAAGAGGTAGAATCTGCAGACTATGCAGACTAATTGGAAGGGTAGGCTAGTTACTGCTGGGGGTTATGGTTTGGGCAATGGCACCCTGTACCAAAAGGGGACACTTTCCATAACCTGTATAGGAATGACAGTGAGTTCAATTTTAGACATGGCATATCCCATATGCCATTTCAGAATCAAATGGAAATGTCTTAAAAGCATGTGGCTAAAAATAGCTATGATTTATTGTGCACAGCTTTGTGTCTTTTAAAGAATCATGCTACACAAAACACACAGAGATTATAAACTCAGTTATAGGGGCCCATTAAGAGGCATTTTGATAAACTAAGTGAGGAAAATTTTGGGAAATCACATTTTGAGAAGGCGACTGTGCTGGGTAGCTCTCGAATATGGATAGGGCCATGGAAATTTTTCCAGTTTGAAAATCCCCTTCAAAACGAAAGGGTCTGAAATTCATTTACATTTGGAAAAATGTACTTTTCTATTGCTACAAAGCAAAAGATAATGGGAAAGGTCATTATGGACATTGATTCTTACCCAACTCCTGTTGGATGAGATGGCTGAATGAATATAAAACACGTGGATTAAAATAGTCAGAGCATTTTTAAGTGAGAGAAGCACACTTAGCTAAGGATGAAGACTAGCACTGCAGGATGTTTGACAAACCCAGGTCATAACAGTCTCCTCTGTGTTCTGAAGGGTGTGTTTTCTCTCAAACCATGTGGGTCTTGCTCTGAGAAAAGCAAGTATAGGGCAAGCACCTCAATTAGATGGGCTGAGAGTTGATCTTTTACATTTATTTGGACAGGCATTTTGATTTATGTGCCTTGTGTGCTTTTCTAGGTTCTGGAGGGCCGTCATGACATACGAGAAGTTAAGTGAAAGTTGTCTGTATCTGTTCATGTGTTCACACACGTGTGTGTAAAACTGTAACTTTTGTTGGAGTCTCTCTAGATGGAATAATGCTGCATAAGTGGCATATGCTGATTATCCATTACTACTCTGCCTTAGTACTGTCTTCCAGATTTGTTCCTTAAAGTCCAAAGAAAACCTAGCTTCCCTTACCCAGAAAATTCCCTGCTGTAACACATTCATATTGCACCAGCAGTTTGTCTGAAAAACCAAAGACAAAATTTCCAGTTAACACTCATAAATTAAGGAATGGCCTGGCAGGAATATAAGCAACTAAGAAAGCTTTGCTACATTTCAATTCTTTCTAGGAAAAAAGACAAATAGAGAGAAACTAAAAATGGACATGTATTACTAGGACAAGAGACAACTTCTTGGTATGGACAGCTACACTAATGAATGAATGGAGACTTTGTCTACCTTTAGATTATAGATATCTTAAAAATACAGATAATTGTATCATATGTTATGATTCTCTTCAAAGATCTTTCATACATTTATACTATACTTTATGTAATTATTTTACTGTAATGACTTTAAAATCTTAAAGAGTTACTATATATTTTGGCTATCCACTATGACATTCCACTGAGTGAAGATTTTTGGATAAGAACACAAAAGCACAGGAAACAATAACAAAAATAAATGTATGGGGTTATATCAAACTAAATAGTTTCTGCACAGCAAGAAACAGTTGAACAAGTGAAAACTTACTAGAAGGGAGAAAATATTTGTGGTCTATGCATCTAGTAAAAGTCACTATTCAGAAAATGTTAAGAACTCCACAAATTCAATAAAAAAACCCTCTGATAAATAAAAAGGGTGAAAGACCTGAACTGATAGTTTGAGGATGGAAAAATGGTTAATAGGTATATGAAAAAAAGTTCAGCATTACTAACGAGCAGGTAAATACAAACAGAAACCATAATGAGGTACAGTTCTAGCCAGTAAGGGGAATCTCTTCCATGCTTTGGTGGAAATGTAAATTAGTACTGCTATTATGGAAAGTAGCACAAAAATGTTTCCATAATTGAAAAATAAATATATTTAAAAATTTAAACTACCTTATGATTCAGCAATCTATTACTGGATATATATATATATATACTCAAAAGATACAAAATCAGTGTATTGACAAATCTCTGGACTTTCACAGTTGTTGCCATGCTATTTACAGTAGGCAAGATATAGAATCAACATAGATCTTAATTAACAGATGAACAGATAAAGACAATGTTGTATATAAATAATATGAAATACTCTGGCCATAAAAATAAAATCCTGCCACTTTTCATATATAAAAACCAACTAAAAATGAATTTATAACTTAAATGTAACACCTGAAACTATGGAATAATGAAGAAATCACATAGAATGATTAAAAATGTCATGAATGCTTAAATTTTTAAAAATTCATTGCAATGAAAGACTTATTGTCATTATCATCCTCAAAACACTTCCCTCAGTGGATATTATATAAATGGAAATAAGCAAATTGAATAAAGACAAATGCCTCATGATCTCATCTACATTTGGAAACTAAAAAGGTTGACTCCATAGAAGTAGAGAGTAGAATAGTGGTTGTCAGTGGATGGAGAGAGTAGAGAAGGGATGAAAAGAATGGAAAGGACCATCAGTGGGTACAAAGTCACATGGAGGGAAAACCAACTCCAGTGCTCCACCACACAGTGGAAGGATATCTATAGATTCAGAGCAGAGTCAGGCAGGGTGGTGCATGCCTAATGTCCCAGCACTTAGTAGGTGGAGGCAAGAGGTTAGCCACCAATTTGAGGCTGTACTTGTCTACAGAGTGTGTTCAAGGATGCTCTGAACTACATAGCAAGATTCTGCCTAAAAAAAACAAAAACAAAAAAGCGTGAAACACCAGTAGGCCTTAACCACATAGGCCAAATTGATATCAATTAATTTGCTACTCTGAAAGGAGATGTCATTAGTTGGTATGGAAATAAACCTTTATATTATGATGTTCTTTTTGTATAAAGTGCAGTCATTTAGGAGTCATAATTTACATGTTATTTCGCCTAACCTCTATATATTTCAGATAAAATAAATAAAATTCAAAGAACTGTCCTGCAAACACAAAGGAATTAAGAATTTAAAGTTAGTTGAGTTAAAAAAAACCCTAAAAATTAATCATAATGTTATCATCAGGTCTGGCTATGGTAGTTAATTTTTTGCAATCATATTAATTATTGGGCAGAGAAGAAGATTTGATTTACGCAGAACCATAGTGGCATCAAAGAATTGCTGAAGTAGATTGCAGAGAAAACAAAGTTCAAGTTGCCTAATTGCATATAGGAATCTTGACTTATAACTGCTGCATCTCTACTAAATACTGGGACAGAGACATGTAAACGAAGATGTAGAGACCAGCTATCCACCAAAACATTGATAATTTTGTTCATAAAATTTTTGGACCAATAATATCTGAACAACTGATATCTTCAGTGCTATCAACAACTGCTATAAATTCATTACATTGCACTGGATATATATCCAAATGATATTTAGGCTATGTTCTTTTTGAAAAATTTAATTTTATTTTGAAAAGTAAAAGTAAAGCAAGAACAAAAATCAGAAACAAAGAAAGAAATAGGGCAACATACAACAGTACATATGCTACAGATCTTCAAACCAAGAATAGCTAATTAACAATGGTTAACATATTATCTATTTTATCATCAAAACTGTTGCTCAGATTAGCAGATATAGTTATGTAAGATTGGACATATGGTTAGATATTACCACTTGCTTTCAAGAAAGCTTAAATTTTTC